GCACCTATGTGATAGGTCACGTCCATATTCACTCGTCCTTGGGGATGTTCCTTGGGTTAATTTGTGAAAATATACGTGGCACGACATCACGGCAAGAACACTGCTTTAGTATACTCAACAGGCTAACCACCGGACCAACGAGGCCCCGCCGGTAACCGTGGGTTTAATAAAGTCTAGGTCAGATTACCCGCCGCTAAACCAATGTGCCTATTTGTGCATGCTTCGCCTGACTACATTTATTGCAGACACTTACGGCCCTTGCTTGCAGGGCCTACTGCAGCTTAGTTCTGCTTGATAAATATCTTCATTTGAACGGTGAGCTTTTAGTAGAGTTGCGTTTGCTGGAGATGGAATGTTTGGTCCCAAAATGTAGGTAGTTTCTTAGCTTTCTTCAATAACGTTGGTACAACACTAATTAAGTTGCCTTGTCGAGATAAACAGTTTGAAGCTAAGTTTGCTGTCTTGATTTTTTCGAATTGATAAATGCAATTACAAATACTCCAGAAAAACATTGACTCCACTTCTTTATAGATAGTATAATTCAGAAACGGACCTCGGTGGGTAACTCCCTTTATTAGATAATCTGGTACATGTAGGAATTTACGGATTGCTGTGAACTGCATTTCAAACGCTGAATTCATCCCCACAAACAGAGTTTTGCCTAAAACTCAGATTGAGTCAAAATTAACTACTCTGACCGAGAAGTTTACCAAGCAGAAGTAAAATCTCCTATCAGAGGTTGTTTCATAGGTAAGGGAACCCATACCTTTGTCAAATGGTTTACGGACGTTTGCACCTCGTGTGCTGTAGCGTAGGGTGGCGCAGGGATATTGGTTTGCGTTGGCTGATTGTGAGACTGTACTTGCGTCGCATCCACCTCACTCGCTGATCCACTGCCCTGCCAGGGCCCCGTGCGTAGGCTGAGTCAAGAAGACTTAAGACAGGCTAGCGCGGCTGGAGCTGCTCCTAAGCGGACTGCCACACCTGGTTCATATCCCAGCCGGTAAGAGTGCCATAATGGCCACTCAAGGGGCACAATTGCAATCCGACTGTCAAATTCGTCATACAAACACACTAACTCCACCCGGACGCCGAACTCAACTACCCGGCGGCCTCTTGCATACGCTAAGGATGTACCCGAGTTTAGCGAGGGATATCACCAATTGTGACCAAACCGGGAGTCAGCTCTTCATTCGTATGACGCAGCACCAGCTATCGGCTGCGGGACATGTCAGTTTATCCCAATTAGCCATGCAAACACTGGAAACCGTACGTTTTGTTTGCATGTGAAAAAGGCCGAATTAGTAGCATCTGCTCAACAAGGATAGGCCGCGAATCTCTTGAAGAAATGCGTTTGAACGAAACGTGTCTCAAAAATCGTATCAATGTAGAGGGTTGTGTATGTGGCTCTATCAACTACCTATGCTAGGCTGCTTACCTCGTATGATAACATTGCCTCCGAGCATTCCCAAACCTTTCTTTTCAGGGTAGCATATCCTGGCATATTCCGTCGTTATGAGGATTTCATTGTTCTCTGTTCTGTGAGCTGTAATGTAAACTGCATTTCCCCATGTATGCCATTTTTAACAGATGAACCAGCCGTTAGATTCCGTCTCTTACGACCTAAAAAAAGTCGGGAAGGAACTTTTAGAACACAGCGGCACATACTTTTGCGAGCTGAACGTCTTCTGTGCTGATCACGAACATTCCAACGCCGTACGTTATTTACTTATATTCCTTGTTTTCTTTCACATTCACTCACATTAAAAAATGGCAGCAAGTTAAGCAGATTAGGGAGCAACATCTCTAAATGTCGGCGCAAAAGCACGTGGAATCGTCATGCTCTGGTGTGTGGTTGGAACAAAGGACTTCGAGGGCTATTCCAAGCGCGTGCATTTCTATTAAAACGATCGAATGTTGGAGCTCCGATATATTTTATAGATGTCTTTGAAACTTCATAATATTGGTGTTGGCAGTCGCGTTAGAATTATATAAGTGAGTAGTGATACTGATGTATTTTGACACTTATTATCGATACTAGATTTCACAGCATTTGTATCTTTACTGATCTTGGTTTGAGGAAAAATAAGAGCAACAGCAGTAGTAAGAGTCTCGCTAGACTTTCTAGTACTTACAACGTCTCCGCACTTCTTTAGTTAACGAATAGATTTAACGTCCTGTCTTGGGTTTGTGCATGAGAATTCTGGCATATAAAGCGGTATGATAAGAGCCTCAATTGTCATTATGAAGGCCATTCATTTCTGCTGAGGTGCGCACAAACAACTAAGCTTGCCTATTCGACAAAATGTAGCAGTCGGTTAAATTTGTTCGAAGCTCAAAAGCAAAGCCATTTAAAATTCCCACTCAATTTTGGTACTCAGCTAAATCGCAAATGTCCTTTCAATGCTAATCTTCAATTCAGCGGAAAAAAACCTTTTTTCACTTGGAACTAGGCTAATGTATTATATATCCAGGCATTCTTTTAAATTTTGCTTACAAAAAGGCTCCATCGCAAGACAAAGAGCCCGTGGCGCAGTGCGCGAGAGTGTTAGACTTCTAATGAAGCGGTCGCGAGTTCGATGAAGGCCAGTAGGCTGGAAATGGCCATTTCGGTCTCCCTTGTCTTCGCCGTTTAGAAGATCGAGGGGACTGAACGTCGATTTGTCGTGTGAATGCCGTATGTCTAGTGTCTTGATCAAAGATAAAAGTAATTTCTGTTAAATTTGCAATCCTCGTTTCCTTCGCCAATCGCCAACAGAAATGGTGGTTATTTGACTAAAAAGGATAACCTGCGTCATAGGGCTTCGTCGAAGGTTCGATCAAGGACGATAACCGCATTTCTGACCTCCGTGATCTGCAAATGTGACCTACTTAGCCACACGGCGTTGTTTATTTGAACTTACTGGCCATCGAGCATTGACAGATGCGCGGACTTTTGCACATTTGCATATGTCAGTATGCGATCAACGTTCAGGGTCCAACCACTTAAACTTCAAAAAAAAAATTTTAAAAAATGGACGCAAAAGTAATAGTCATCAAGAGCAGGGGGATATTTTGATACGCAAAGCTTTTGTTGAAACCGATAAGAATTTCCTCTTGAAAGCGGTAAACTCCCAGAAAATGGGTTAAATTTATATGGTCTGTTTTCAAAGAAACCTTTTTCGTTTATATTTGCGGTATGTGAACATATGAAGGTAAATTTATTTTGCACTCAGAAGTGTGTTTCATTGGGAGCCGATATAGACTGCAGATATCATACTTTTTCAGACGAAACCGCAAGACCTACTAAATAGGGCCCGTATGACTCTCAGCAAAGTGGAAGCTGATCTGAAGTTTTGGGATGACATTGTGCAACATGCCGTCATTCCCACTGAATCTCTGCAAGACATAGCTGCCGCTGGCGATAAACTTCGTAAAGTGAAGTCTGAAGTCGAGCAAATAATTGAAAGCCTAAAGGTGAGTGAAAACAGTTGAATTGATGTAAATATTCATTCAAATACCGTAATTCTCAATAACGAGGTCTTTTAGAAGGCGTGTGATTCCACAGATTCCATTCTTATATCAAGGCTGCCTCAATGCTTGTCTTTAGAATAAGTTTTGTATTAGTTAATATAATTTAGATAAAGAAGTTTTTAAATCAACCCATATTTGACACATATTTACACCCAAGCCTACGTTTCTACAAGAATTCTAAAATTCCGTTGTCGCGCTCGGTTGGCCAGGGCTCTGGTCTCCTAATCGATGCATTACCTTTGGATGGAGGAGATCTCGACCTCGACCACCAACCCGTACAACCAGAGAGTATTGTCTTCAGCTCTTTTCCTTTTCCTACGCCACATGAAAACTCGCAGCAGTTTCATAAACTCTCCCTACCCTAGAGTTAGGTAGGAGTTGGGAGGCTACGATTATTGATTTTGCAGAGGCTAACTAGAATTACTGCCTACAAAATGTGTAAGACAATGTGAAACGCAAAAATTTCAGACGTAGTAACTAACTAGTAGTAACTAAACTACTACACTGCGACGATGGAAAAATGGTAAGAATTGATAAACAATGATATAAAGGATAACGATACGACTCAGTGGATCCGATCGCCTTCTTTAGCGGTAGCCAAAAATTGATTTGCAACGAAGAAGAATTGACCAAGGCTGCTGGTCAAGTTCAGCAGTTTGAAACCCGCATAGATTGTGAGTCGTTTGCGTTTCAGAGACTGACCGTTGTTCCTGAGCCCGAGAGTGGTCGCAACAGCGCCGTTAGGCTGGGCAATTTAATAAGAGCAAAAAATGCAATATAAATACGGAAGTCACTCGAGAACGTGCCACGTGAGAGATGCCAGAAAATGTGTGTTGTATTTCGAAAGTGTAAAAACCAAACACACAGTACATTTAAACAAAATTTAGATCAGATCACACACCTAAAAAGAAAAAGTACAAGGACCTATTTAACTCTCCCACTAGAGCGTTGGTGGTGCAAAACAAACGCTCGACAAAAGGTTTAAAAAGCAAGTTAAACAAAAAGTCTTTAAGATCGGTAGGAAAACGAGCGTGTCTGCCAGCACGAGCGGAAAGGGGTGGTGGTATCGCA